AAACCCATAAAAAGTTCGCATGGATAAGGGCCCCCTCGAAGTGTTGAAAAGCAAAAGTCTTACAATCTATACACATTATCCACACCGATAGCACGAAATATTCATTATATATTTATTTGATATTTAATAACATTTTTATGTTACTTAAATATTTGTTTTCTTAAACAAATATTTAATAAATATTTGTAATACTTCGAAGTTGAGTCATTTATTTTAACAGTGAGTAGATCTGATCAAAAGAAATGTTTTTTCCTTTGCCATTTTTCTGGTAAAATTAAAGTAACAAAGTTATAGCCCTTTGGAAGTTTGAGTACCGCCCTGCCTATTATATGCTCGTGTTTGGCGACAACGGATATAATCCGCCTGACCGGTTCATCGCATCGGAAACAAAAAAGCGAAAGAATTTGAAACGTTTATAACACGATGTTTTTCGTCAGTCGATAACGCGTAAGTGAATAGTAGTGTGTTGCGTGGTTCAAACGAAATCAAAAATGGCACATGTTTACGAAAATGCTGAACTTGTGGACATGATTCTTATTTACGGGGGGGCAGTCTTTACAAAATGCTCCCGGATGCATCACGGATTTACGCGAATCGGTTTCCCAATCGAGTGCAACCAACCCCTCGTGCCTTTGTTAATGTAGTACAAAGGGCTCGTGAATCAGGTGACTTAAGACCTCACAGGTAAGGGCATGCTGCTCCAAGACCGCACGATCAAATACAGGTCCGCACTGAAGTACTTGTCGGGAGGATACTTTATTAAACAAGGTAACATTTTTTTTTTATTTTTTTTTTTATTTTTACACACATATTTTGGTTTATCTTCCTTCTACAATCATTATCTGAAAATTAATGACTCAACTTCAAAGTCACCCTGTATAATATTATTATATACTTATTCTATATCATTTGAATATTCTTTTATAATATTCATTAAATATTTACTTTTCAATCAATGGAAAATATTAAATCTCCAATATTTAGAAAATATTCATTAAATATTTTCAGCTATGGCGCATGTGCGTGTAACCTCGAGCGACCAATAAGATAATAGCAAGCCGGCCTGAGGTGACCTGTTTGCCGGCATACATTTTGCCTGTGACTTGCACTATGATAGCGTACTTTCTGTATACCTCCAAGTGGTTCATTATTTGAGTGTTTTTTGTGGAAAACGGAAAAGGGCAAGTTTTTCGATAATTACATAGCTTAATTTAACTGACTAGTAAACATTATTGCTCCAGCTGAGTATAAAGGTATTCACAAGACCATAAATAACTAGCTTTGAAATGAAAGTTATTTAGTATTGATGGATTTATCTGAGAATGGATACGAAAATTATGTTCATAACATCCCAATGAAAAGACATATCGAAATACATCAAAAATGCTTTTTTAAATATCTCAATTATTATTATTTTTGTCGTAGTAAGTTCGGAAATTTTAACAGTCGAAAATACTAAACTTTTGTCCCTTGAATTATAATATAAAATCACAAAATAGTTATGGCTAAGTTAACTTCCTTACTAAAAAAGTCAAATTTTTACAAAATTTTCAAAAAACTTTTCTTTAAAAGTTAGTCAAAGGATCAAGTTGTGCTCAAACATATTTTTCATCAAGATATCTAAAATAATATACCAAATTTTCTTAAAAATTAACCAAATCTCGAACTATCACAGACAGAAAATGTGGGTGGAGTCCTTTTAGGTGCTTTATAGAGCTGCTTTTCGGTGACCCAGTTGAGCTACTCGGAGTAACTCACCATGCTCAGCACCAATATTGTTGCACTGCATTTTATATTCCCATAAATACACTGGAAAGCAGCTTATGTATTCAATACTTCATGATTCGTTTTTTTTCAGAGGAGTGGACTTGCAACATGCAGAAGAGGCTTAGAATGTTTTTTAATAATATTTTTCGAGCAAATTAAACCATTATATCTAGAATGAATTTTCTTTATAAACCCAATTTTATGTATTCCTTCAGGTTTTGCTAAAATAACCAATGAAAAATTTTCTATGAAAATATGTATCAGATTAATGCTTCAAAATCCATACATATTTACGAAAAATATTAGATATTGTATCAGAATATAAAATTGATATTTAAAAATCTTTCCTCATATATTTTCTAAATATTTGGAAAAATATCGCAAAAATATATGAATTATAGATACTACAAATATCTATAATGAATATTTTATAAATATATAAAAATATATTTATTAAATATTAAAGAAACTGTCGCTACAAATAATTAACAAACATTTTTTAAAAATACTTAATAGATATTTAATGCTATCGGGGCAGTTTATTATTTTCAATACCGGCCCCTCTTGCAACAACTCAGGGCTCCTTAGAGTGACGGGCATAATAGGGAGCTTGCCTCCTTTAGCCTTACCTTCCCACGGAACCTGCGCCCAATGAGCAAAATTCAGTATGTGATTTTCAAAAAAAATAAAATACGGTCTTCGACACTTACCCACCATTCACAGAAAAAAATCAACTAGTGTCTCGCCAAAACGTGAACTAGGCCACTTTCACGATATACAGACATCCAGATAATATTTTAACTACAACTACAAAGCGCACACAATATATTCAGCATTCAAAAACGTTTATCATAGTATTGGCTCCGCAATTGAGGTTTCAAATTTGTCAGCAAAGTATTGTCATAACTATAACAGTTAATCAAAAGCTGCCCGGCAGGTACCGTACGATAACTAATATTGTTTAAAATTTACTTTCTCTATCACTGCCGCTGAAGAAAATTTCTCCTTGGATTATACTAGGCGGATATCCATTTTCAAATCCAATAAATATTCTACATGGAATCACAACGCGATCTTAGCTACAAGACTCCTTTATTATACATTATTCTCTTCCTCTATGAAATGGCATCCAAAAACACAAACAGAAATTTAGGATCGAACCGTGGAGCTTCACTATATCAAAGAGATCTGTTGCAAAATGGGTATTCAAGAAAACAAAGGAAACGATAGAATGGGGAGTCAAAATCCGAATGTGATGAAAGGGACTACTCTAGAATGTCAACCGCTGATCAAATCCCAGAATTCAGTATTTTTCAGATTTTACGATCAAAAAAAATTCTGCGGTACCCTATTTTTCTGAATGGCGCATGTTCCAATGACAAAGGTTTTTTAAAGGATCTTCATGAATTGGATGTACATACTTCAAATACATAGTATCACATACTATTTGTTTTAGTTAGATGTGTCATTCACTATGTTTTTGCAAATATTTGCTGGAAAATATATATACATATATATATACTTCGAAGTTGAGTCATTTATTTTAACAGTGAGTAGATCGGATCAAAAGAAATGCTTTTTTCTTTTAACATTTTTCTGGTAAAATTAAAGTAACAAAGTTATAGCCCTTTAGAAGTTTGAGTACCGCCCTGTCTCAATAATAATATTATGTGCTCGTATTTGGCAACAACGGATATAATCCGCCTTATCGGTTCATCGCATCGGAAACAAAAAAGCGAAAGAATTTGAAACGATGTTTTTACTACAATGTACAATTTTATTCAGTTGTTTTCCGTCAATGTGTCAGTCGGTAACGCGTGAGTGAATAGTGGTGTTTGTTGCGTGGCTTAAACGAAATAAAAAATGCACATGTTTACGAAAATGCTGAACTTGTGGACATGATTCTTATTTACGGGGGGGGAGTCTTTATGCGGATCGGTTTCCCAATCGAGTGCAACCAACCCCTCGTGCCTTTGTTAATGTAGTACAAAGGGCTCGTGAATCAGGTGACTTAAGACCTCACAGGGGAGGGCATGCCGGTGCTCCAAGACCGCACGATCAAATACAGGTCCGCACTGAAATACTTGTCGGGAGGATACTTTATAAAACAAGGTAACATTTTTTTTAATTTTAATTTATACACACATGTTTTGGTTTATCTTCCTTCTACAATCATTATCTGAAAATTAATGACTCAACTCAAAGTCACCCTGTATATATATATATAACAACAAGTAGGAAAATAATGTTGTTATATACCTTTCTCCGCATGATCATATTCTCTCTCTCTCTATATATATATAACAAAAATAGGAAAATAATGGGCAAAATCGAGCGATACGTATTTCGGGTTACCTATCCTGTTCTGCTCGAATCCACTTTTTGCGGATTTTGCCCATTATTTTCCTATTTTTGTTATATACCTTTCTCCGCATGATAATTTACTCTTTATATATATATGTATATTCCAGCTGTAGGTGAGTATCCATGATATGAACTCAAAGAACCAAAGAAAATTATTACATCACATCTTCATGCATAGCTTTCTATAGCTTTAATCGGAATACCTACTTGCACATTGCATCTATGTGTAACTGAAACAGTCTTGCTGCACTTTGGTGTATAACTAACCATACATGTTCCTTGAATTCGACTGATAGTTTATCAATTTAGAAAGTGTTCTACTCCATCTCATTTTTCATGATTCTTATTTTGTATGATTCTTTTCGTATAATTTTTTGTGTAATCTACCAGTATAACAGTAACCTTTAAAAGTAGATGTCAAACAAGTGCCATGTGATACCACTGTTGGTCACTAAGAAAATGGGGCAATATGAATACGAGCTGTAGGTGGAATCTATAATATTCGAATTCACATTAACAATAACGGATTACTATAATCCGGAAGATATCGCCGGTGTTAGTGACATAAAAGTACATTTAAGCCTACATTTTGCCGAAAACTAAAAGTCCAAGGTCGCAAATCTATATTTTTCAATAGTCCGAATGAGGATTCTCAATACTTTTTGTCTATTTGATTAAATGATCTCTACCAGTCTCAACTGTTACCAGAATCGGTCATTGAGACAGATCAAAAGCATGCTGTTGGTTATAAATGCAAAATCTGCATTATAGTACACATTAAATATAGATGACATGTGTACTCAAGAAAGCCAGCTAGTCATCCTAAAAAGCTGTAACAATGGTATAAAGGGAGAGAAAAACAGTTGATGTCAATAATTAGAAACACTCTTCTAATATTCTTTTTTTTATTATTATAGTGATAGAATTTATTATACAATAAATTACAATGTTTTGACTCAGTTGGCATCTAATAAATAATTTGTTGATGTCAGAGAGGTGCTGTCATCGGAATCATGCAGTTTTGTTTCCCTTGTAGTGGTGTTACTTTGTTTTTCCTCTATTGGTATTTTTTCTTTTCTATGTGGTAGAACAGCCTCAAATGCCTCCTTGAATGTCTTACCTCCACTGACACCGAGTAAAATTTCAAACACTAAAAATTCCATAAATATATACAAAAATAGAAAACAAAAGGTATGTTTGCCACAAGTCATTTTAATTAGGAAATAGAAAATACCTTAATTCTGTAGATAAACATCTCATAGACCACGTTCTCAGTGATCGTGATAGTAAGATAAATTATAATGTAAGTGTTAAGGAAAATGCCCTGTCGGACCATAAGCTACTATTAGTGAATATTAAAGATAGCGTCAAAATTCATAAACCAAAGGTTATAAGCGATTTCAATATTTTGTTCAACAGAAGGTACAAACAGTGAACGTTACTACATTTCAACACCTGATTGATATAATTCAAGTCGGAGAGAAAAAAGTATTGAGAATACGTGAAAATAATAGCTGGATATATGAAGAAATACTTGAAATGATGGATAAAAGGGATAAAATATACTGACGTAAGTCAACACAACCACAAAATGTGAAATTAGTTGCGGAATTTAAAAAAATTAAAAACCGAATAAACAATAAAATAAAACCGATGAAGAATAGGTATTATCGGGCCAAGTTTAATTTAGCTGGTAGCAACATCAAAAAGCCATGGACGTTTATCAATTGTTTCTTTAAAAAGAAAACAAGGCTGCTATTGATTGTCTGACGGTTGGCAACATTCTTGTGCATGATAGGATAGATTGATGCAGTAAATAATTTAAATCGATATTTCTCTAATGGTAGTAGTTCTATTGCAAAAGAATTGGAAACTGAATTTAGAACATCAGGTTCAAATATTGAAAAAAGGAAGTTTATATGCATCACACAGATCTGGTAGACCTCACTGTTGAACAATAGGGGAATGAAACCATGCTAGAATTAAAAATAATTGCGACACCTGGCCATGATGGCATTTCAGTCAGAGATATGCTCAACCTCAGATTTTATATTGTAAAATATTAGTAAAATTAATTACCAATATAACTATAACTGGAAAATTTCCAGATGAACTTAAAATCAGCAAAATCACTTCACTTTATAAATCAGGTGATAAAAACTCTATGAGTAACTACAGGCCAATATCTAGTAATAGTAGTAATATCTATTTGTCTCCAAAATACACAACCATTACACATAGAATTATATAGAGAACAAATAAATGAAGAGCCCGCAGGAGGGTGGCCCTTGTGCGCGGGTAAAGGTAATCAGAAAATATATCTGTAATCAGTGTTTTATCTAAAATTGTTGAAAAAATCATCAAGAATATAATGATGTTATTTATAGATGAAAATACATTAGCTGACAGTTACCAGTATGGGTTCATAAAAAATAGTAGTGCACTTGTAGTTGCACTTGATTTTGTAAATTACATGTCAAGAGCTCTAGATGAAAAACAAGTGGTTATAGCAGTGTTTATAGACTTAAGAAAGGAATTTGATGTAGATATCAATGTATTATTGAATAAGTTACAAAATATCGGATTTATGGGTACTACGTATAATGTGATTAAAAGTTATTTACGTAACAGGAAACAATATGTGAAAATTGATGAAACTGATAGTGAGTGGTTATCTAGTGACTAAGGTGTCCCCCAGGTGTCAGTCTTGGGACCACTATAATATTCTCTATATGTTCTCAATCTAAAGAGTGCTAGGTATTTTATTTTTGCTGACAACACAGTTCTTTTCTATAAAAGAAATCATGAGCAGGCTCTGTGTGATGAAGTTAATTTAGATCTTGCTCTTTACAGTAAATGGCTATTCGAATAACCTAAAGATCAACATCAATAAAACAATATATGTAATTTTTAAATAGAAGAATACATTAATTGAAAACTTTAGTAAGTATAAAATTAAATAACGTTAAAGTAGAAAAAGTAGCAAGCATCAAATACCTGGGTTTAATTATTGATGAGAATCTGATTTGGTCTAGTCACATTAAAATTTGTTTGTACAAAACAATGTCGATGATAGCTGCTTTGTACTAAACCAGAGACTACTTGACTACAAAACGTAAAATAAACATTTATAATGCATTTTTCTTGGCACACTTTAGATATGTGTTACCTATTTAGGGAATGTGTGGTGGACTGAGTTTCATAAATCGCAAGTTAAATACAACGCAACGTTAAAGTAGAAAAAGTATCAAGCATCAAATACCTGGGTTTAATTATCGATGAGAATCTGATTTGGTCTAGTCACATTAAAATTTGTTTGTATAAAACAATGTCGATGATAGCTGCTTTGTACTAAACCAGAGACTACTTGACTACAAAACGTAAAATAAACATTTATAATGCATTTTTCTTGGCACACTTTAGATATGTGTTACCTATTTAGGGAATGTGTGGTGGACTGAGTTTCATAAATCGCAAGTTTCGCAAAATAGAATATTAAGAATTTTGTTCAACTATGATCGACTTGCCAACACGGACTTGCCAACAGAGAATAGAATGTTTGTAAACTAGATAAGCTTTTGGAATTAGACCCATGTAAAATGATTTTGAAAACTATGATAACCTACCAAATAGTGTAAGAAATGTACATGTATTCAAAAATTCTGTAAAATACTCAAAAATCACTTGAATTGTTGAATTTATTGTAGCTAAAATTCGCACTTTAAATGTTGTTGTTCTCGAAGCCAGTGTTTTAAACACAGATTAGAGTACTTTGTTTTCTATAAAATTTGTAAAAATTGACATGAATAAAGATTTGTTTCAAAAAAAATATACAATCATTTCTTAAAACTACTGAAGTCAAGATGAATTATTAAACATGCAGATAAAAACCCTAAGATATAGAATTACCTTGATTAATTGTCAATACTTTTCTATCCTTCATCCAGAAATATTCACTTATAGGGAGTTGTGCATGTGTGATACCTTGTTTAACTGCTTTTTCATGACAAATACCCTAAAAAGTCTTGAATAAATGCTTTTCTCTAATAGACCAATTATTAACTAAAATTTGAAGAGGGGGGGGGGGTAAGTGCTTAGCAGCAACTTGTGAAAGGAACAGGTGACAATTATTGGAAAAATGGTAAGGGTCATCTGGAGATGGGAGGGCTTCTCCCCCTTAAATCTGCGAATGGGACTAATAAAGTTGATTATTCATTTTAATTCTCAATTACAAATGTCGGATTATTATGGGATCAAAGCCGGATACAATACTTTAGAGTGTGATCAAGCACTATAAAGCAGTAACAACATGCATACAAGCCCATCTTCTGTCTTATCAAATTTAATAATGTAGTAACAATACTTAAGAGTATAATGGAAAAATTGCTATTTCAGAAAATTTTCAAGTGACAAAACTTCATATAAAAGTTGAAGTATCATTATGAAGCCACATATCTCTAAGCTTTACCTTATGTGCATTGTGGTCCACTAAACCTCCAATGATATAAACTTTATCTTCCTCCAATTTGTCTAATACATTTTCACTCTCACTGCTAAGATAAACTAGTTTTTCCTTGGGAAAAATATCTAAATAATCCTCTGAATGAAAATTAAGGTCCCAGTGCTCATGACCATGATGCCTTTCCATCTCTTTTTTACTTCTACCACCATAACTTGTCAAGTACAGTTGCATTGGAGCTTTTGCTCTTCTATTTAATGTGTATACTCGTAAAATCTGTTTTATGGTTTTAGCCATGTCTTTATCAATCATAAGATCATCAAAGCTTAAATCTACAACTACCCCTGTTTTACACGGACTGACTTTCATCTTGGCCTCTTTTAACTTTTTTCTGCTGGGCCCCAAGTCAATATTATGTTCCCTTGCATATTGTCTTTTCTGTTTGTTTTTCAGTCGTTCTTTCGCTCGTTTCTCCTTTTTCACTTGCTCCCATTTCAAGCATTTCAGATATTTTTTCTTTTGTGATTTTGTTAGTTGACTAATTTCTACACCATTGAAGTATTTAGGCGACTTGTCTGTACGTTCAGGATCGCCGTCCTTTTTATCCGATTCTTGAGGTGATTCTGAAACATTTTTTTGATTAATTTCATTTTCTAAAAGCCGATTTTCTGCTGTACTTAAATACATTCTGTTTAGGAAATTATGTGATTATGTTATTTAAAAAATACGAAAAATTCAAGGGTTGGGAGTTGGGATAGAAGGTTTGAAAAGGTGAGGTTAATTTAATCAGTCCAAAAACGTCAAAGATCATAAAACATCAAGCAACGACAAGATAAGCTGAAGATGGGGGTGCGTTGTTCAAAATGACCGAGGGATAAGCGATTCGGTTTCTGGCTGAATGGTAACTAGTCAAGGCGTAAATATTAATTTGAGGGACAAACAATTAGGTAGCGTATATAAGAGGTATTATGTAAAAAACCTAAAAAACGTAAAAATGACATTTTTTAGACTAGGCAGTTCTTAGTGTGCAAATGGTTCATTCCACGTTTGCTCGCTATGATCGTTGTTCGCTGGCGTTTAGGCAACACGTACAGCTACAACACGAGCTCACAATAAAGTGTACAACAGCTTGTGCTGAGTTAACATCTTGTAGAAAACCCTACAAAATGTCAAAAAACGACAATTATGCCGATTTTTTTGACACTGTATCGATTTTTTGTGACATTATGTAGGTTTTTCTACAAGATGTTAACTTAGCACTTAGCTTACGTGTCGCCTTAACGTCATGAGGCTTCAGTTATCAATGTTTGGCTCTGATGTGATGTGAAATCTGTTTCAGAGATGGCATTACTGGAGGTCTAAGCTCAAAAAGTATGTGTCGATAATTCTATTGGATTATTGTCTCAAATACACAACAGATTCAAATCCAGAAATTAGTTGAGCATCCACTTTTTCTTATCCATTCTGGAAATTACATAAGCAAATTTGCTGAATTTAAAAAATGAGAGATAAATAATTATATTCACTGTACACTGACGAATTACAAGCCATATACATGCTAACAGTAATTACACACAACGCGGGCGCAGTGGTATTTCCCGTAATTATCCTCAAGGTGTTTCGTAATTTATAACTTTGAACATAACCTCACAGAAAACAAAACACAAATAACCCGTCGAGCTAATAGATATACATCCATGGCAGCATATTCAGTAATGATTTTCTCACACAGCAAATATCACTGATTTTATACACATGCAGGCCAATACACATATCATCTAGACGCCATCTTGCTATTCAACCAACTTTCTTCTCGGAGATAAAAACTACAGCTACCGCTTACTCGGCTTCACGAAACATATACAACCAGCAATGCGTGTAGTTTAGTTGAGTCATTCCTCCATAGATGGACGCTTACAACGATCCTTGTAAGCAAACGTGTTATGACTGTTTGCACCCTAAAAACTACCTAGTCCGCAAGATGTTTGTTTTGGACGTCTTATAGGTTTTTTACATAATACCCAGACGGCTTTTGAGACCCCTAAGGGCACAAAATACTACTATATTCTTAGATAAACTACGACTTCATCTTTACTCTTAGAATTGACAGTATCTCTAGGGCTCGAAATGAAGGCCGACTGGGAGGCCTAATCTAAAAAATTTGCCTACAAATACGGTGTCGTTTTTACGTTGTGGTTTTGCAATTGAAGCTGTATTAGCCATTCAGATAGTCAAATTATATCATAGGATATTAATGAATGTTTGAAAATAATCACATGTTGCAAATCATTGTCCACATCCGTTTTTGTTATAAATTACCATAAACAAAAAAAAAATGCTTTTCTTGATGTTAACCACGTTCAGATATGTGGTTCAGATTCACCGCCACGTATATTCAACACTACCGAGCAAATTGTTGCCGTGGAAACCTGTTTCTTAGTCCGACGTTCTTCTTTCTTTTTCTTCAACGTATACCCCCCTGGGTTTGTTGTTGTTTGTTTCCACAACATTCTATCGTTCCAATCACCTTCAAGCATACTTCTTTTGGCCATAGCATTATTAATATGGATTTCAAAAACCTCTTTATTTTTGTCCATACCAATGGAGTGCTGGATGTTTTGCGTTCGTGTGATTGAGCAAGAAACTTCCATTTGTCTCCGAATTTCGTCTGACCTCTCCTAGTTTTTCAGGCATCTCGTCCTTTTAAGATCCAATTTGACGGTCCTCATCTTTCTCTCTAAACTTCATATGTTTATAGCAATTCCTTTATACTTCTTTTTCTCTATGACCTGTCTTACACAATGGATATTGTCCAGACACGATAATCAAATCCAAGCGAATAACCAAAATTTCTGTGTTATGTGCCGCGGTTATAATATGGTTCAAGATGACACACGGGTTGATGACGTCAGTTACACGAATCACTTGAACGCGTTGGTTTTAACCGCGGTTTTGTTGCAAGTTGTTTATTTTAGAAAAGCGCGTATATAATCTCTTATTATTTTTATTGTCAGTTAATAATCGGTGCTTTTTCGTCTACAACTGTATATGGAAAGTTTAAATAAGAAACCTTTCATAATATTCATGGGAGAAATGTTTTTTCAGATTTTTTTTTAATGATGGAACCATGGCTTTGTAGCTATGATAACTTTCAATTCTCTAAATTTTTCCGCATGTCAATGAAAACATTTATTGATTCAGCAGAAATGATGAAAAAAGAAATTAGCAAAACCGTATACAGGTGGATATCATCTAGTGAGTTTATATGGGCATATTTTAATATTCTTGTGGTATATGGCTACACAGCATACTTTGTTAAGCATAGGAACTACATTTAAAGTGTCCCCAACAACCGTAATGAGTATAACTAATAAGGTGCTCCACTTTATGGTAAAACTGAAGTCAGCCTGTATCATTTTTCTCAAAAATGAAGCTGAAATACAATAACAATATCCAATACCCGGCAAAATTCTAACTTGTCACATTTCAAATAATAACCAGAAATATAAAACTACTCTTGAGTTGGGTAAATACCACAATTTTGCGGTGATAACTATGACATATAACAGCTGATTCGTGACGTCACGGATCTTATAACCAAACTGATAACTACACTCGCTTGAACGGATTGGTAAATACCAACCCAAAATGGTAAATACCATTTCCATTTGGTTATCCGCTTGAATTTGATTGATCTTCCATTTGTAAGTCCACTCTGACCTTGGCTGAACTGGATATTTCCCTCCTCAATCTTGCCTATTGACACGATGGAATAAACAACCTAGGTAATAGATGGTATAATTGCGATTCCTCTATATACCATAATATAGTTATCACATGGCTTTTTATCAGTTTTTGTAAAAACGGGTAATGTAAAATTCGTAGCACCCTAATAAAATTTGTAGTCCTCCTCCAGTCTTCTTGAATATCCTCCTGATCAACCTTCAGTTGGATAAATAATATGTAATTATGCATTTTCTAATTAACACACTCCTCACACCAGAGAGTTGAACAGATTCGTCAAAAAGAACCGTATGTCCCATACTTATTTTGACAACCATCCCGTGTGTTCCGTGTCACTCGTGTCAGTAACAGGTTTCAGCTGTAAGTGGGGTGTTTCCTGTTTTGTGTTTTCGTCTCTCAGCATGGGCTCATCCACCTGACAGATAAATATTTATTTTGGAATTTTCTTAAATATTCAAAATAAAGTGCATAATTTGCAGCTAGTGATTTGGAAAATTGATGTAAACATTCACTCGGAAGCTGTCACGTAACCTCTGTGTCATGTCAATTAACCAAAATATTTCAAACAGCAAAGTACAAAAATCAAAGAAAAGTGCGATAATGCGACTTCAAGGCGACCTCATTGACGCTGATTTAAACATGGGGTTTCGCTCTGACATGGAGAACGATTCCTTATCGCCTGCGTACAAAATTCGTTTGTACTCCCTTTTCAGACAAATAGAAAAGGAGTTTGACGTGTTATACCAAGAAAACCAAAGCTTGCATGACAAGATAGATCTGTTGAATGAAAAACTTGAACGTGACACGTTCGACAAGCAAGATCTAGTGGATCTAGATAATAACTTATCCAAAGCCCTCACAAAGAAGCTAAGCACATCATCTCAAAAGAGTAAAACAGCACACAAGTTAAAAGCGCAAACAAGTAAGATAGTATCAAGCTTTAAGGCTCCTCAGTTCAATTGCTGTTTGATAAGGGAGTATACTGGTCATAAGGATGGGGTCTGGGAGGTGTCTGTGGCTAGGCCTGGAGTACCTGTTATAGGAACTGCATCAGCTGATCATACTGCTTGCATCTGGCATATTGAAAGTGGAAAATGTCTGCTACAATATCAAGGTATATTTGAAAACTCTATCACTTAGAATTAGAAAGATCCATGTCGTGAAAAAACATTCATATTGAGTCAGTACTTTGTTTCTTCATGAGCTCTAAAGTATTGCAAAAGTTTCAACTTCTACTGAGGACCTGTTGTTGGACCTTATTCATGCTTCTAATACTTGGCCATTACACCTCAAGACATTAAAAAATCAGGGCTCTGCTTTATGGAGTGCTTAACTCATTATAGGTGATTTGTAAATAATTAATAAAATTGTGGATTCTTTTGAAGATAATGAAATAATAAATTTGTAATTATAAAAATTGGGATTATCTCTGATTAAATACCATCTCAGAACCCACAATGACAAAAATTCCTGACCCATACTATCACTAAAATTTTCATTTGTTTTCTTGATGATAACTAATATGACTGTCATTTCAGTTCATAATACCTGAGACTACTTTTGAAATTCCCAAATTTTGATCTAATGATTTTATTGTGCTAGGTCATGCTGGTTCAGTCAACTCGATTCGTTTCCACCCTGCCAAGGATCTGGTCCTCACAGCTAGTGGGGATTCCTTGGCTCACATCTGGCAAGCAGCTCTAAACTGGGATACACCTAAAGGCCATTCTTCAGAAGAGGAGCTTGATGGAGATGAGATAGATGAGAAATCTGATACAAATCGGATCTCATCTCTTAGGACACCATTCCAAGAATTGAGTGGTCATTGTGGGGCTGTTTGTGCAGCAGAGTGGTTGTCAGGGGCTGATCAGGTGATCACTGCCTCATGGGATCGACTGGCGATCTTGCATGATGTTGAAACTGGGGCTCTTCTGACTACACTTACAGGTAACCAGTTTGATGTAAGACTTGATGAGACAAGGACAGCACAGATACATCATTTTGTCCTCTCTTCTTCTTTACTCCATCTGATTAGCAAAAAAATATTATGTCCTCCTTCAACTTGCAACAGTAACCTTGGAAACACTCACCATGATCCTGCCACCAGAACAAAAAATAAAAGTCTTCATATTCATTATAATGTCTTATATCTAATTGTAATTCCATCAAAACCAGAGCTTTAGATGTGTCATTGATTACTGGATAAACAAAGAGACAGATGAAATGAATGAAGTAGTTTTTTGTTATGTAAATACCTAATTATCATCAAACAAATTTAGATTAGCTATATAGCAAAGTTGATCTTTGGTCTAAACCAGTGGCTTCCAAACTTCTTTTTCTCTTAGATCACTTTAAAAATTTTGCTAGTTTCAGTGGACCCCTACCCCCCCTTCTCCCAGTTACATTTCCAGCATATTCTAAAACATTGTCAATAAGTGTGTGAAGATTAGATCTAACAATTCAAATTTTCACAGTGATAAAAGAAAGAAGAAAAATATTGATAACCTAAAACATAACATCTTCCACAATAAAAATCAACAGTTCGAAAAAATAGTATAATAAACCAAAATGTTAATGGGAGAGGTGAACTTGGTAGATTGACGAAGGTCTGCGATATTCAATCTGCTTCTTTTTTTGTTAATAAATTTGTAACAACACTAAAATCTTTTTCAAATAGGTATAAGAAGGTGCACAATATCAAAAATTTTCTCGCAATTTCCCACAGCCCAGATATTTTTCAAGTATATCTGCAAAATGGTTTATAGTCTTTTTTTAATTGTTTCCATCAGCTCCTCATTAGTACTAAGTTTTTGTAGCCCATCTTGTAATACCACATTTCAAATGGGTTTATGATGCATGATGGTATTTTCAATCTTTTGGGCTATGCTTGAATATACTCATCAAGATATTCTCACTGTGTCAAGTTTGGAAACTTTTACGAATATTGAATTTTTAAAAGAGACAACCACTGGCCTTATCAAAATATCATCTGACAACACTTTTGTTTCTTTCAATCGAAACGAGATACATTTTCGTGAAGGTTCATAGAATTAACCAAATTTAATTTTTCATATAATGGTGTTAAGGCAGACAAAAATAAAAATATTAACAGAAATATTTGTAGAATGTTCTTGTTAATTATGTAAAAAAAATTTGGTTTTATAATACCAACCAATATTCCATAATGTTTACATAATATGATGCATCCATTCTTAAAGCATTATGTAATTTGCTATAAAACTGCTTATATCCCCTGGGGCAGATAAATTATTCCTGCATTCTGATTACCAAATCGGATGATATCCTGAATATTTGAAATTTTTTATAATGCATCTGAAAGTAGTTTAAGCAATAAAATTAATGATTATTGAACGTTGACTATAATTTGGTGATGATATGGTGGAGCTGAAATAGAAAATCATAATAATCAGGTGACGCAAATCTGCTCGACTTTGACCTACTAATATGAATCTATAAACATTTCATATTCTCAATTCAAAAGACGTCTTCATTGGTGAAGTTATTTCCTACAAAGTCTCCGCAAAATACTAATATTTATTTCATAGATAAAACTCGCATAGCATGCGTCAGACTGTTTGAAAATACATACAATGTAATATGTAAACAACTGCAGCATGGGTATTACGACTCTTGAAAAGTAACATGTTGTCGGCTTTTTGACATTTTGTAGGTTTTTTGTTTTTTTGTGACATAACGTAGGGTTTTCTACAAGATGTTAACTTAGCACTAGCTGTTGTACACTTGTTGTGAACTCGTTTTCTAGCTGTATGTGATGCCTAAACGGTCTAAAGGTCTAAGCTGTAAGTTGTAGACTATAGCTGGAAGGAAACTGCAGTGCATAGGTGCATAGTGAGGATTTGTGTGCTAATAATTCCATTGGTTTTTTTTCTCAAATACAATTACTTGAGACGTATTTAAGTTAGTAATTAGTTGCGCATCCACTTTTTTATTCATTTTATAAATTACAAATGCAAATTTGCTGAGTGTCAAAAATGAGAGACAGATGAAAATAAAACCCCCCGTTAATGAACTAACAGGTGAGAAAATATGCTACAGCCAGGAATATTTATTAGATTCATTAGGTAATTACATTGTTTTTTTATTTCCAGAAATTTAAATTTTATAGAAATTTGTGTTGCAATGTTAATAGACAATACAAATGAGCACCTAGATGTGAGGTACTGTTACAATGTTTGATATGTGATGCTTCATTCCTACAACACAAAAAACGGGAGAAAGGACAACATATAAATGACCTGTCGAGCCCAACTAATAGATATACATACTTCATTGGCAGCATATTCAGTAATAATTTTCTTGCATAGCAAGTATCACTGTTTTTATACACTTACAGACCAGTACACATAATCATCCAGATGCGATCTTGTTACTCAACCAACCTTTTTTCTATCACATATTCTCAGAGAAAAACACTACAGACTACTCGGCTTCACAAACCATTTATTCACTCGGCTTTCTGCAACCAACAATGCATGCTTCAGCGTGTCGTGTCATCGAGTCATTCCTTCATAGATGGACGCTCACAGCGATCATAGCCAGCAAACTATTTGCACACTAAAAACTACCTAGTCTGCAAGATGACATTTTGTCGTTTTTTTTATGTTTTTTAGATTTTTTACATAATACTCCTTCGGGACGAATGGTACGCGTTAAACTGTCGGTGATTTGTTGTTGTTATTATAATGTCAATGGAGTGATCAAGGTTGTTGATTTGGGAACGCGTTACAATCGACAACACCGTCAACGTTGGTTGAGTTGGTTCAATTGCATTTTGTATTTCAACTTATACACTTCTAAAGATAAGACGAAAATTACGATCTTTACTGAAAATCTTATTGTGAATGGCTGGCCACGTCGACAGTACGATTGCTATGGATTCAGTGCAGACTATAAATTAGTCCGTTTGACGTGAACTGTCGGAAACGTACGACAGAACTTAATCCATTTCTACCCGACTGACGAGTAGGTATTGTAATCGCGAAAACATTCGCAAATGAAAATGATTTTTGCATGTTATATGGCATCTTCATCAAGAAAATCGTCTATAACTTGAACTGTATCACGAGATGTTGATGAAATTTTCTCACAAAGTTACCACCATGCCAAGGATAAAAAAGCTTTGTAGTTTGTAAAAATAAGTCCAGGGGCAAAAAGAACGATATAAAATAAAAACCGATCAATCTTAATTTTTGATGCTTCAGAGGCTTCTGATTAGTTTCTGGAAACTTGTTATCATATATGAATTAAAAGTTAGGGGTTGTGGGTTGAAGAGGCTGCGGACGTCCCAATTCAAGTTTTGTATCAGAAGGGCTAACTTGTGCCGAACTGATGCATCGATGACAGCGTTTCATGGAAGGTCCAGAGTCAACCTAATTGACACGACTTTTTGCTAAAAATTATAGACTTTTCAAAAAATAAATTTTAGCAAGTATCTTGCGTCCTAGCTGATTAGCAAACGAATTTGTTTTTTAGAACAGTTACTGATTAAAACATGAGAGTTTTTTATGATGGCATTGATAGCAGGAATACAAGGTTGTTCGTGTTTATATTTGTAAAATGCCTATGTGTGATAGAACTCGCAAAAATAAACACTATAGCTCATGTATGCTTATTTACTATTATTCTTTTCTTCCTGGGTGATTATATTTATTTTTTTAACGAAAAGGTGACTTCGAAGTTGAGTCATTTATTTTAACAGTGAGTAGATCTGATCAAAAGAAATGTTTTTTCCTTTACCATTTTTCTGGTAAAATTAAAGTAACAAAGTTATAGCCCTTTGGAAGTTTGAGTACCGCCCTGTCTCAATAATAATATTATAAGCTCGTGTTTGTCGACAACGGATATAATCCGCCTTATCGGTTCATCGCATCGGAAACAAAAAAGCGAAAGAATTTGGAACGATGTTTTTACAATTATTTCATTCAGTTGTATACAGTCAGTGTCAGTCGGTAGTGAATAGTGGTGTCTGTTACGTGGCTCAAACGAAATAAAAAATGGCACATGTTTATGCGGATCGGTTTCCCAATCGAGTGCAACCAACCCCTCGTGCCTTTGTTAATGTAGTACAACGGGTTCGTGAATCAGGTGACTTAAGACGTCACATATGGACGGCATGCCGGTGCTCCAAGACCTCACGATCAAATACAGGTCCGCACTGAAATACTTGTCGGGAGGATACTTCCAAGGTAAACTTTTTTTTTTTATTTTTACACACATATTTTGGTTTATCTTCCTTCTACAATCATTATCTGAAAATTAATGACTCAACTTCAAAGTCACCCTGTATATCGACAGATCTATTGTAATGAAAGTCATTGCTTAATAGAAAAATCCGAGAAAAATCAAGATTCAACTCTGCTGTAAGCTTTCAAAGCATCAAACCTAATATTTGATAAAATGTAGTTTTGTCAGAAAGGCTTCCGTCATTTCATTATCGACAAACGTGTTTTTACAGGGCACGATTCGGAACTGAATCATACAGCAACACATCCATCGCATAAGTTAGCTGTAACTTCGTCTAGAGACACGACGTTTAGGTTGTGGGATTTCCGGGAACCAGTGCATTCGGTGTCTGTTTTTCAAGTAAGTAGCCAATCTGATATTCGACCAGCAGAGGTAGACAGAGTACAACATTAAACTACTCATAAGTAGTACACAATGAGGAGCTCCAAAATAGCTGCTCAATTGAAATATGACAGATATTTTCAGTTTTAAGTTTGCTTATTTACCTACCGGATATTCAGCTTAACAACTGTGCGTCCTACCACACATTCTTAATTTACGTACTTTGCTTTCCAAGGGTCATACCGAAAGCGTCACGTCTGCCGTATTTACTCGTGAAGACAAAGTGGTGTCAAGCTCAGATGACCGTACTGTTAAAGTATGGGATCTTCGTAACATGAGATCACCAGTGGCGACAATCAGGGTGGACTCAGCTGTGAATAGGTTATCTGTTTCGTCAAATGGAATCATTGCTATTCCACACGACAACAGGCATGTTAGGTAAGAATCTTTTAATAAATACGAATGAATTTGACACATCGTTTTGACTTTTCTCTATTGAAAATGCAATTTCTTCCCGATATATCGAATATCGAAAATACGAGCTCGGGCGTCTGATATACAGTACAGGTCCAACATGGTACAGGGTGTTCGGAAGGTCAATACCAACCTTTTAAGAGGTAATAATCAATCCCATTTGGATCATATGTAGATACATACCTATATCTTAGTGCAAAGTCGATCCATTTTTTTAGTTCCACGGAGTTTTGTGAAATCCTTGAAAAAAGCCATAATCATGCGATAAATCATCGCTTGTTCAATAAAGAAGAGCAGCTCCTTTGTTCTCTTATTTTATCATTTATCTTGATAAATAGTCTCTATACATAATTTTCCAAGATATCGAAATATCGCGTAGACGTTATAAAAAATAATATTGGTTTACTAAATCGTTCGATTTTCTAACGCTTGATGGCTTTTAGAACGAATTTACAGAAAAAATTGACAATAGTGTAATTTGAAATCATTGAAGACCCTTTCCCGTCTTTTGCTCTTTCTTGTGGTATATGATACGAAACGATGAATTAATGAAGCTGCATCAGAAATATTGGTTCACATTATTAGAATGAGCAAACAAGTAACAATTCTGTTACTTTCAAGTGCTTTATCAGAAGAAATGGTTGAGAAGATTAGCGTTTTATTTTCTACCACATAGTATTAAATGGCGTGTCACGGTTTCGTACTTGTGGTGTGTGTCGTTTGCTCTGAAGTTTTGTAATGTTTTTAGAAATGTTAATTATATTTTTGGTTTAAAATTTTATGGTTGCAATATTTTGAATTTGTGCGGTTGCCGTATCTTACAAGTGAATCTTTAGAAAAGCTACATGCACTGTCAAACCCAATCGCTCCTAGTAAACTGACTACTAATAAGAATACGAAGCAATGGCACGAAAATATATGAAAAGTAACAATTTACATTTTGTTAATTGAGTAATTTTGTCACTTTTAATTTCGCTTGATCCAATATTTTGGATATTTTAAAAATATGGAAATATCGATTTGTATGAGATACCATAAGAAATATCTGAAGTGGGGGAAGTTTTTTAATTGATTTTAAATTACACTGTTGCCAAATTTACCAGCCATATTTTTTATAACACGAGTATCCGATCTTTCGATAACTTGAAAGCTATTTGTATGTGAAGATTATATATCAACATAAAGGATAAAAATAGGAGAACAAAGGAATTGTTCTTCATTATTGAACAAGAGATGGTTTATCTCATAATTTTATTCTACAATTTCCCAAAATGCGACGTAATTCAAAAACGGTTTCACTCTGTACTAAGGTTTATGTATTCCAAGTGGAGTGTACTATGAAAATGTTAGTATCTATCTCCCGAACACCCATTATGTTCTGCCAACCTCGCATCGAGAATCGATAAAAGACTCCATCCTCTGTTCCGCTCCACGCCTTTCCAAGGCATGCACCAATATATCGAGAGCACCAGCCATTTATCACATAGCCATTTAGGGCTCGCGCAGACAGACAAGCGGTCGTCCGGTCTATCCCTCTTATAAGAGAGGAGACAGGAGGCAGTTGCGAACACTGCGTTCCATTTTACAGTGCCGAAGCGTCCATATAACCATTGTTACCATTGGTAACAGTTAAAAATCTTAAAACTAAATAATTTATGACCAAGTACTGTGAAATAAATAATTTCATTTATTTGTTTACCAACAATATGTACTAGCAGTTTAGTAAATAGCCGATTAGCCCCACGAAAATAATGCGCCCTTTAATATTGACTAGATTTTGCGAACGCGATGAAGGCGCCTCGCCTCGACTTGGTTGTCGGTTGTTACCATTTTCGTTTATGGATACACGTGATAGTTCGTCGCTGTCGGCTCGTGTCTGATCGCGGTCACCCAAGTGCTTGGGCAGCCGCGATTATTATGTGGACTTGTTACCATTTTTTGTTTTGGTTACTCACTTCGTTAGTAATCGTTTTGGTTGCCGACTGTAGTGTGCGTGCAATTAAACATGGATGAGTGTCGCTGCGTAATCGATTAACTACTTGAAAAGTCATTCTCCTTATATAATTTTGAAGAAAAAAAGGAGATAATTGAAAGTGGAATACAACACTTATTTTAGATAATTTTAAAAATTAATCAAAAAATGTAGTACCATATTTTAAATTTAGTTGGTATATTGAAAACTCTTGGTTATGTGGTTGCAAGAAAAACAGATTGTTTTGTTAGCCATGTCTTCTGTTTTCCACAGAAAATGGGTGGACCAGCAATGATTTAAGTAGTTTTAGGGTTCTAAAGAGGAGACATGAAATTTCTCCATTACATCTGAGATGTGTAGCCAATTTGATTCAGTTTGGCAAAACAAGAATCGAAAGTTGTCCTAAAAAAACTTTTAGGCAGCACACTTATGGATGCTGTATGTTTTTTGGCCAAACAAGAATTACCATTTCGGGGTCATTTTGAAGGGGATAACTCTGACAATAGAGGAAAATACTGGGAATTGTTAACATCAATTGCCAAAAAAGATAAAAAAAAATCCTAACATCTAGAAACGTCTACTATTTTTCGGAAGGCTTGGATTAGTCATAGCATAAGACGATGAGGTATATCAAGTGTCCCAGACGCCCAGTCCAGCAATTTTTACCTTAATTTAAAAAAAAAAAGTTTAAATACAATACCTAAAATAAGCAATAACTTATATCTGGGAGGGTCAAGATCAACCTTTTTTAATGAGATTTTTCGCATCCGGTTTTGGTAACAGTTTAGAAAAAGTCACGCGTCGCCACTTCCATTTTACGAAGTTTACTTGTAGGTGAAACATGTGCGCGAGCCCTTATAGGCGATTTTGGCGGAGCAATAAAACTATCAGTATCGCTTTTATACCTATATCTACCTGAGACATACTCATGCCGTGTTCCCCTGAGAATGATGACTTTTTTGTGTAAGTTTGCAACTTGTTCTAGTTTTTTGGTTCTACTGACAGAGCTATTCCACTATCTAATCCAGTTAACATGTTGGGGATCGCTCCTACAATTCTAGAACGCCTTAATGGCCCCCTTGATTTTCATAGTTTCCTACTGTTCCGCGACAGCGCTCTCTTTTGAGGTTATGTAACAAATATCTATTTGCATCAAATTTTTTACAATTCAAAAAGAAAACATAGCCTCACAATAGGAGAGCGCTGACGCTGATACGGAACAGAAGAAATCTAGAAATACCCCAGCCTGAAGGAGAGAACATACTATGAAAATCAAGGAGGACGTAAAGGCGTGCTACAGTTGTAAGAACGACTAACGATACGGCCCTTAGATGCTTTTAGTTCCGCCGAGACATCGAACTACGGTAGTCCAAAAAACATGTATACGTAGATATATCGGATGTAAGATTTTTAATAAACTCAAAGATGAAAGTAGGAATGAGACAAATATAGCTGCTTTCAAAAGAACTGAAGCATTTTTGGTAGACAAATGTTTCTACACGTTGGATGAGTTTGTTGTTTAGATAAATGTTTAATCCGTCACCACTGTTTTTGTTTTGTCACCTCTGTTTTTGTCGAGCTTTTCATTTGTTATAGATTATTCTGTCCCTTTCAGCAATGAAATAAATTATTATTATTTATTATTTGCTTATTGTGTCATCGCTCCGTTGCGTTTGGGTGTTCTACAATCATGCTTGCCACTGTCAGTCTGACAACTTACTTGTCATGGATGTGCGAACGGTGTTGATCTTCGATACAAAATATAGCAATTCCTGGAAATACAATCATGCTTTCTTTATGTGTGCATGATCGAATAGCATCTATGTTAAACATCGGTTTGTGCAATATGCAGCAAGTAAATGTGTGAAAAGAACTATGAACTGATTGACAAAACGATGCTTGACTTATATGCTGATTATCTTGCTTTTTGCAGGTTGTTTGACTTGTGCGGTCAGCGTTTAGCTCGATTGCCTAGATCCAGTAGACAGGGCCACAGTAGGATGGTAGCCGCCACTGCTTGGTCGGATGATCCAATTAGTAGCGCGAATCTCTTCACTTGTGGATTTGATAGGAGGGTGCTTGCATGGTCTGTGTTGGCTGCATTGAAAGATTAAATCACGGGATTTGGTGGTAAGTCAATCACTTTGATTGGTTTGTTTTTGGCAGTTCTGCAGGATGTCGGGTGCATATCACTTGTCAATCGGTAGCTTGATTTTGTATGAAATCAATGTATAATTCAGAAGAAGATGAAATCAATGGCTTTCTTGGTTTTTCTCCATGTTTCTCCAACCGCTAAATGAAGCGACAGATGTAGGATAGACTGTTTCTCAATTTTATTCACATAGTTCGAAATTGTCTAATTGTCAAACTGACGAAATGAAATTGACAGGATACAATTTTACCAGGTGTACAAGTATGAAATGCGGATTCCAGTCAACAAATGACGCACCAATGCGCCTTGTACCGATTACTTCAACAAGCTTATGGTGAACATGCTCCATCGCAAGATACGTTTGAAAGATGGTTTCTACGCTTCAAAAGCGGTCACTTCGATGTCGCAGACAAAGAACATGGAAAGCCTCCAAAAAAATACGAAGATCTGGAATTGCAAGCTGTGTTGGACGAAGACGACTCTCAAACTCAGATACAACTTGCAGAGCAATTCGGCGTTAGTCAACAAGAAGTTTCCAACCGCCTACGAGAGATGGGAAAATTTCAGAAGACCGGTAGATGGGTACCGCATGAGTTGAATGGCCGACAAATGGAAAAGCGCAAAATCAGATGTGAAATTTTGCTCGCCGGTACAAAAGGAAGTCGTTTTTGAATGACATAGTTTCAGGGGATGTAAAATGGATTTATTTTGAGAATCCCAAGCGCAAAAAATCATGGGTAGACCCAGGCGCACCATCCACATCGACCGCAAGATCAAATCGCTTCGGAAAAAATACCATGTTCTGTGTTTGGTGGGACGAGAACAATTGACCCATTTGAACCGTGCGCTGCTTGCAAAAAGGCCAGAATACCGAAAGAGGCAACACAAGGTCATTTTTCTTCATGATAATGCTCCATCACATACGGCAAAACCGATTTGCGACTCGTTGAAAGCACTCAGCTGGGCCCCTACGCGGCTTACTCACCAGACTTGGCGTGGTATTCACAAATTGCCCGAAAGATGGAGCAACTATATAAAAAGCGATGGCGCGTACTTTGAATAAAGCACTTTCTATAATTTTTATAAATTTAACGTGTTTTTTTTTGGACAAAATCCTCATTTCATACTTGTATACCAGGTAAATGGCATTATCATGATGTTTTTTGTGTACATTATTTATCTAGGGAGAGAAATGCTACTTCTCAGAATGGTGTTCAGCATGGGTATTACGTATCTTGAAAAGTGAAATTATGTCGGTTTTTTGAGATTATATTGGTTCTACAAGCTATTAACTTAGCTCTAGCTGATGGAGACGTTGTGAACTCGCTTTGTAGTTGTACGTGTTGCCTAAGCGTCATGAGCTTCAGTTATCAATGGTTCTGATCTGATGTAAAATCTGCTTCACAGATGTCATTACTGTACGTCTATGCGGTAAGTTGTATACTATAGCTAGAAGGAAATGGAAATGCATAGGTGCATAGTGAGGATTTGTGTGCTAATAATATGTGTTGATGATAATTCCGTTGGATACTTGTCTCAAATACACTTACTTGAGATTCATAGCCAGATATTACTTCCGCATCCACTTTTTCTTATCCATTCTGGAAGTTACATAAGCAAATTTGCTGAATTCCAAAAACTAACTAGATAATAAATAATTATAATCACTGTACACTGTCGAATGACAAGTCATATACATACTAATCGTAATTACACACAACGTGGGCGCGGTGATGATTTCCTGTAATTCTCCTCAAAGTTTTTGAAAACACAAAAAACTGTAGAAAATCGTAATTTCTAACTTTGAACATAGCCTGTCTTCAGGAAGAACAAAATTTAAATAACCCGTCGGGCGCAGCTAATAGATATACTTCATTGGCAGCATATTCAGTAATGATTGTCTCACACAGCAAATATTACTGATTTTATACACATGCAGACCAATACACATAATCATCCGGATTCGATCGTGCTATTCAACCAACTTTCTTCTCAGAGATGAAAACTACAGACTACTCGTCTTCACAAAACGTACGCAACCAACAATGCGTGTAGTTGAGGCATACCTCCATAGATGGACGCTCACAACGATCCTAGTGAGCAAACGTGGAATGACTGTTTGCACCCCAGAAACTACCTAGTCTGCAAGATGACATTTTTTAAGTTTTTTTACGTTTTATAGAGTTTTTTACATAATACTCGTGCCGGTCACTAATCGTGACTTCTCGGGCTAGTAGTGAAAAAAATATATTTCATTTTTGATTTGTACATTGAGAAAGATCGTCGAGGTGGCAGAAACGTCAGTAACCAGTCATTCCTATATTTGTGGTTTCATTTATCGGCCAGAAAAACAGAATTATCAACATGAAAATCACAGGTTGAGATTCAGATGTTAAAGTATACGTGGCTTCTTCATCCTTAAAGATGTCTGAAGTACTCAACAGGAAAAGGATTCAGAAGTTATATGATATCACAGTGAGCAAACCCGAATTAAAGTGTGCAAGGTCATCGCAAAGTGATTAAACTGATTTAAGATGGAAACAAGCACGCATCGACCGTCAATCCAAGGCGCTGAACATGTTCTTATATTAAGTATGAAGTTTATTTTTGAACAAATTTTACTTTTTACTTACTTTAACAGGTGGTGAAGTACTTGGATGAATTTGGATTGTGAAATATGTCTTATTCCGCAAACATCATCGATTTGTTCTTTTCTATCACTAGAAGAGATTCGACTAATATTAGTTGGTCAGTGATGATAATGCTGATATATGTTGCACATACTCGCCGCATAGTCCAACATTGATACGAATGAAATTTTATATTGATAAACCACACTGTTTAAATGTTTGTCAGAAACACGCTGCCACCTCTACCTTACAGTGGTCATGAAAAGATCAATGAAAGGGACACAGGTCATTTCTAAGGATAATTCGCTGGATCTAAATTAAGTTCCTATATTAAAAAACGTATTTTACTGATGCATTTTTTAGAAAATTGGCTACAAATAAAGTATTCTGGATAAGGCATTGGCTATGTTCACCAGCACCCGGCAGCTTTATCTTAACCTTGCCAGTAGTTTACTGATTGTTTTTTTTATTATTTTACAGATTCGTATTGAAAGTCATAACAAGTTCATCATATAATTTGGTATTTTAAGTCTACGGCTGGTGTCACTGTAGGTATATAGTGTGATTTTATATTCTCTCAAAGAAATATTATTGTACAGGGTTACTGAAAACAATCAAAGTGCATAATGAGTTAAAACCATTCCTTTCTTGTTCTTCTTCTTCATGTTTATTGCTGGTTTTAAGCTCGGTAAAACAGGTTGTCCGACATTTGTTCTCATAACAATGAAGCTTTTCTATATTATATTGTATTGTTTATTTAGACGTCTTTATTTTTAAAAAGGGCTGATTAAACTACATCTAGAATTTGTGAACTAAAGGACTGCAACATCAGTTGATGACAATCCATACCTCGTCATTATTTTACTTTATATTTATTACATTAAAAGATGGTATCTCCCGAGGTTTCTTTAAGTAGGATCTCTGTCCCGAATACCTACAATAGAACTTTATATTGTCACAACCTGCCATTATAATAACTATATTGTATTGCAAGGCCCTGGAATGGTTGTGTATTTTGGGTACATTTAGTTAGTATTTCTGGTTTGTTAGAGGTTTTATTGCATTTTTTGTGTCGCGTTAAATGTTGATGAACGATTTATCATAAGAATGTTAAACTAGAAGGAGGAATACGTATCTAAATTTGCAAGCTGTATGTTTCCTATTTTTTTGTGTCGCGTTAAATGTTGATAAACGATTTATCAAAGGACTGTTAAACTAGAAGTACGAATACGTATCTAAATTTGCCAGCTGTATGTTTTCTATTTTTTATTTGAATTATTTTTTTTTCAAAATGGAGCATATTTTCAGAATGTGTATTTGATGGTGGCTTAGCTCAGATTTACAGTATTTCGTAAATTGTAGTAACAAATTTTGCGTTTCATGCTCAACACCTTCAGTTCAGCTGTTTGACTGGCAGTTGAGCAATAAGTGGATGTTTTTAGGGTTCTGCTCCATTTCTTTTTGTAAAAATTCGTCGTTTAAACATTATTATTCACTACAGAACTGATTGTAAATTATGTAATTCGAACGCAAGTGTTTTCATGACTATATGATTTTCCTTCTTGTTGCGCTACTGTTTACCAAATAAGATGGAATGCCGTTATTTTAAATGACAAATGTAGAGGAAAGTGGCCTATTATCGGATACTTTTTTGTTTTAGGGAACAAAAAACAGTTAATATCTACCTAGAACTATAACATGTTGGTAATTATTTACATAATATGTCTTCTTGCATAATTTGGAAGCAGATCACTCTAACTCATTATTTTTTTTTCGAAAATCGCATGGGAGTGCAAAAAGCACTCTTTTAAAATTGGGTTCCCCAATATCGGATATTGGATGTTCCTAATATCGCACATGTTCGATATTAGGAACTCAAAGGTTTGAAAGAAGATCAAAGGAATTTATTTTCATGTTTTATTCATTTAAAACCAAGGAGCAAAATAACTTAACAAAATGAGAAAAAAAGGTAATTAATCTCAACAAATTTCATAAAATGTTTAATTAGTACAAACAATTTTTACAAATAAAAGCTGAATCTTGTCAGTCGTCGCGCATTCATGAGACCAACGGAAACATTAATTGCATCTTATCCATTTTTCCCCTCTTTGTGTCATTCGAATAAAAATTGTTACAGTATAGACACTCAGTCTTCCTCATCTCTATCCATATCATCATCACTGTCAAATAGTTGCACTTCTGTTTCGGTATCTTCACTAGAAGAGTTTAAAGACCGCTTAGCTATTTCCTGTTTTCCCTTTCCTTTGATATTGTCCTTTGGTTTCTTCTTAACTTCAGTTTTTTTTCTCCTTTTTGACTTTGTTGGTTATTA